TTCCCAGTTTTTTAAGGAGGCACAGCATCGTCACCAGGGATTCCAGGCTGCATACGATACATCTTTAGCAGGCAGTACTTGATTGTGGCCCATGTAGGTTTTTCTTTTTTCTGAGATGAGGGTTTCCTTTTGTGGTCCAGGTCTTAGGTCTGGGCTCACACAATCCTCATGGCTCAGTCCCGCCAGGAGCTGGGACAACAGGAGCACACCACTGCACCCAGCGAAATTTTTATATTTAGTGTCACCATTTTCCAGCAGATGGCAGTATAATATCTTGAAGAAGGAGACCAGGTGGGGTGTGTGTGTGTGTGTGTGTGTGTGTGTGTGCAGGGATTAGTGGTGTGTTAATTTATTGTTTCTCCTTTGTGAATGACCTCAGAGAAGGGAAGCAACTTGCCCAGCAATCCTGACACTCAAGGCAGAAAGAAACGTAATTTATGTACATAGATGGAGCCTTGTAAGATAAGAAAAGGTCAGCAGGGTGCAGCCAATTTATGCTATTTTCAAAGGGGTTCTTTTTATTGTAAACACACAAATGTCACAATGTACCCCTTGTACAACTATAATATGCTAACAATAAAAAGGGGTTCTTTTTAAAGAACTTAACTTTAATTGAGAAATAAAAATGATATATATTTATCATGTGCAACATGATGTTTTGAAATGGATATATTGTGGAATGCCTAAATTAAGCTAATATGCATTACTTCACATACTTAACATTTTAAAAATCTGTTATCTTAGTGATTTTGAAGAAAACAATGCATTGTTGTTGACTGCAGTCATCATACTGCACAGTAGATTTCTTGAACCTCTTCCTCCTATTCATCAAAAGGGTTCTTAGTCATAAGGAAGAAAAACCTTAAAAATTGTATGTTGCATCGAGGCCTGTGCCCTGATATTGTCACCAACTGTCAACAGTAACTAAATGCAGACCTTGGATTTGGAGGCACACAACATTCATTCCGATAGTGTGTTAGACTCAAGCCAAAAGAAATCCTAGGACACAAGGGAACATGAGAATCCTAACTCTCACATCGCAATTATGCTGAGGCATACAGAATTGAGAAGTGCTTAACAGTACAGCAAGTGCTATACCTAGGACAGTCACAATCCAATCTCCAAAAAGCCTGAAATAAAGGTTATAGCATAGCTCAGTTGGTGCCAATATTCAGACAGCCCTAAACTCCTGCAAGCAGCAAAATTGCACCTGAGTGATAAGAGTGAGGCATTTTGTGGTCTTCATTTTTTTTTCTTAGTGTGAGTTCTCACATGTTTTACTACACTAAGTTTAATACTAACATTTAACATTTTACATTTGATATTAAATTTTAACATTACTGTTTTAATGTTAACATTGATTATTGGGTGTCATATCTGACCACATTGAGGATACCACAATATATATGGCACTACTGTGTATTACTTTCCTACCTTCCAAAAGTTTAACTTCAGAACACATCTGGCCCCTTGAATTTCAGATAGCCATACTTTAAAGGGACTTTTTGGACCCTCTTTAGAGGGTCCAAAAACAGTGGTACCGACATACCAATGTGTACTTCCTAAGTGCCTAAGAATTGTTGCTTATGGAATTAATGTACTATTTTCAAACTTCAACATCAAGGTCAATTACAATAAATTGGAGGCAATGTATCCTGTAATGTTTTTTATAATTTGTTTATTCATATAAATGAAACCTAAAGGGATGCATAGCTAAGGAAAACCTGTCAGATTATAAAGAAATAATTCATGAGAAGATATATTCAGCTATGCTTATACTCAACAATTTGAGTGAAATATATTCTTAGGGAAAAGCTAATATGCTTTTTAAAAAATGCTGAATATAAAATAATTGGTTACTCTGCCTTAAAAAAAATGGAAATTAGATTTGTTGATGTGAGGCTGAAAGCTGCCAAGCCCTTCCTGAGTTCAGCTGCTTTTCTCCTTTTCTTTTTTTTTTTTCAGAGTGCAGTTTATTGAGCGACTTAGTGACAAAAGTGTGGGTGTGGGTGCCCAAAAGACCTGGTGGATCCTTTCAATTTGCATCAGGACTAAAAATGACTTTATCCAAGCTGGAATGGGTACCTTGTTTGTCTAAGGTTAATCTTAAAGAGTCAGGCATATTCTTGGTGCAAGAGTCAACTTGTAAAGCTCGACATACCACACTCTAACAGTTTTGTCTGTTATAATATTCAGCTGGTTTTCACCACTAACTCTGAAATACAAGGCCCTGCCTCTGCCCCCTACACTGTCATGTTAATTAAGTGCTAATAAGGACTTAAAGGTACATAGCTTTCTAGCTTATGAGGGAGGGTTTATCCCACAACGTTTTTCTCACCCTGTTTTGCTACATGAATGTCTCCTTTCAGACCCTCTCACACTGTGAACTTAACTGTCATCTTTCTGTTTTGCTACCATCAGTGCCCATCAGTTCATGCTGAGATGATTGTTCTTGAGATGATAGTCCAAAAATAACAGTTAATAATAATAGCAAGAATAACAATAGCTAAAGTGTTTCACAAATTAAAGGAACTATGGAGTTGAAATAATGGTAAGAGTGTAAGAGACATTCAAGTTGCTTTTGCTGAAAAGCACTTACTCTTTCCTTGAGCCCGCAGATTAACTGAAAACAGGAAAAACTTGGCATCTTTATCTCCATTTTGCTCTAAGCCATTCTCTTTACAGTCACTTTATAATCACCTTGGAATCCAGAAAGGACAAAACTGATAATATCTTTATGACAATAAACTGGAGCCACCTGGAGCTGCCACCCTCCCAGTGAGGACAATTATCCCAAGAATCCTCTCAAAGAGAAACCAGATTACTCATTCCAGGTGATAACTTCCAAAACTAGACCAGATTGCCTGCCTGACCAAGACTACCAGCCCCATCGGTCATGAGACCAACCAGACCACACCTATGACTGGACTGTTTAACTACACATGTTTTTGTCCCGTCCCCAGTTCTTTTGTCTACTTAAACCTATAGCTCATGTCTGTACTCTGAAGATGGCTGAGGATGAGCTGAGTGCTCACTCTGCCTCTTCCTACAGCATGTCCTGAGCCATGTAATAAACCTCCTTTCTCTGCCTTCCCCATGCCTCCTTGTTTGGTGTTTAGGGCGGGTGGCTGGACCTGGCATATGGAATCTCAGGAGTTTGGGCTGTGGGTTCAAGAGTTCCAATCATTGAGCATTTACTGTCACTGGGCTCAGTTCTTTAAATATATTAACTCGTAAACATTTGCTCTAATAAGAAAGATATTTCATGTTTCCATTTTATGGGAAAGAAAAATTCTGTACCTACAAGAATGAACTGGTAGCTGACCTTCAGCTCATTTGAAATTTATGGGAAGTTTTGGTCATCACACCAACTAAAGAGATGTAAGTGGCACTTAATATGTTGGGACCAGAGACACTTAGCTTCCTGTAAGCTGGAAGATGGCTTCTGACAAGGAGGAATTGGAACACCCCAAGTGCAAATGGTACTGTTAACCATCTGTGCTGAGAACGTACCTGTTTTGTTCACCACTCATTTTATTTAGTTGCTTATCTTTTTTAGACTTTTATGTTACCCAATTTGATTACATTTAGGGTTAAATGTGAGAACTGCTCTGAGCTTTCACCCAGAAGATGAACTAGTTGAAAATTGTTGTGCTGTCTTATACATTAAAGTCACTCTTCCTAATATCTTCTACAATACCACCAAAATAAAATGAAGAAAAAAAAGCCTCAATACTCTAACTTTTTATACATTAAGAAACATATTAATTATGTTAATTATATTTAATTTAGGGGCATCATTTTTATGGATGTATTTTTCTTGTAAAACTTTTCCCAGAAGAAATGTTTTCTATCAGCCTAGTTGTATTAGTGAAAACTGAGCAAAAAAAAGAGAAAAAGAGAAAAATATTACCCACATAGAACTGGACTTTGTGATAAGGTGAAAGTCTATATGAAATTAATTTCTTCCAAGGGTCATACCCTCTTATCTTGATTCAAATTAAATATTGCAAAAATAAATTTTCTTTTAGAAGCCATAAACTAATTTCATTTACTCTCTAGTCTCTTAATTATTTCTGCTAGTTTTATTTTTCAGTCATTATTTCTGTGAAGGCCGAAAATTAGAAACTCCATTTGCTATAAAAATAAGTGATTGCCAGAGTCTAAATAGGCTCTAATTACCAGCTACACATGATGAACCTTGGAGGGATAAGATTGAAATGGAAAATTAAGCCTCAAATTTAAGCACCTAATAGGCTTGTTAAACCAGATTCCTGGCTGGAAGAGCTACAAAAGCCCAGTAATTTGTAGAGCAAATAAGCCCCCAGGCAATGGTGATGCCGCTGGGTGGCACACAAGGTTTTAATTAGCTTTTGATTAAGGTATAGCAGGAAAACAAGGCTCTGTTTTTAAAAAGAAAGCCCTAGCACAGGAAGATAAGCTCAAGGCTTGAACTCTTCATAAGACGTGTGATTGGGAAATGCTAAAAATGTAAGGCTCAGCTCATGTTGGAATATCTAAAATCCTTTGGTTTCAGATATATTCCTGTTTTGTGTTTGTAATCATATGGTATTCTGGCTAATTTGTATATAGGAAGTCCTATAAATCTTTTAAGGCTTAAAGTATTCCTGGGAAAACACTATTAACCTAGATGCTATATACATATTTGCTTGTGATGGAAAACTGTGTTTTCTGTCTTTTTACTTCTGCATAAAGTTTTAAAATTCTTTTGTTAGTCAGAAATGCATCAAGGGTCTATCTTCTCTCCGTCCTAATTGGAAATAATTTCTAGCTTGATGAAATCCATTTCTTAATGTGATACAAATGAGAGGTTTCTTTTTAACATTCCTTCTAAAACACCATAGTTTTGGAATTTCTAGTTAAAGAAGCAATATTTAAAAACTTAATCTGGAACTAAAACATGAGAATCACAACTTCCACAACACGCTCCATGCAAGCTACAGGAAATTCATCCTTGCAGCCCTAAACAAAGCTCTTACCTGCATCAGCTGCTGCTTCAACTTCTGTATTTCTGAGATGTTCAGCTCACTGAACAAGTCAGAGACAGGGTGCAGGGACTCCCCTTTCCTCAAGGTGGGAGTCCGGTAGTCTCCATTCAGTTTCACCAGGGGCCCGTGGATATGCCCATTCATCTTGTCATCATTGTTGGGCTCGCTCCCGTCCTCGGCGAACTTGAGGCCATCCACTGAGATGCTGAGGTGGTTGTCGTTGAGGGTGATGTACTGGGATAGCTCCTTGCGCAGGTTGTTCTTCTGCTCCCTTTCATTTTTCAGTGTCTCCAGGGCTTCCTCCAGTTGGTGCTCGGCGATCTCTTTCAGTCGGATGGCGTCCTCCAGCTGGCTGTTCAGCAGGACTGTCTCCTCCTCAAAGCGCTTAATCTCATGCTTTAATCCTTCATATTCAACCTGAATTAGATAGGTCAGAGAAGATTCATAAAACTAAAATTTGGGTCTTACAAAACTGCCGTTAAACACTCTAGTGGATCTAATCATTTAAAGGAATTGTGACATTAGTTTACAAATTAAATTTTAAGAAGCACAGAATATACTCTATGGTAATAGAATGGTTTCCTTAGGAATTATATATGCACACACAGATATACATGTCAATAATATGTGTATAATTAGATTTTATAATAAAAAATATATGTAGTAACATAAATATATATAATATAAACAAACAAATTCTCAGCAGAGCTGAAAAGCTGTCTGCTGTACTAGGATTCCTTTTTTAGGATCCAGTAGTCAAAAGGGGACACTGTTTGCCTAACAAATCTGGAATTTTTGTAATTTATCGAATATTTATGATTCTAGAAAATATTTTATTATCACTATTATTTTATTTTATTTCATTATTAATGAAGAGTAATTTTTATATTCAGAGATAAAGCAAAAGGATTTCTGTGATCTGAGGATAGGTTCTAGAATTACCACTAAAGTAATACTCTTTTGAACTGTAATCAAATAAGAGCCTGCTCAAACAAGCTCTTGGTCATGAAACAACCTCAGGATAGGGGACTCTCTGAGCTGACTGCTCAGGACTTCATGGCACTTATCATATACTGCTTTTTTTCCCCCTTCTTTTGGCAGTTCTGGGGCTTGAACTCAGGGCCTTTCATTTGCTAGGCAGGGGCTCTACAACTTGAGTCACTCTGCCAGCTCTTATGCCACCTTTTAATAAACATGTATCTCCATGACTGCCTTGTATGTTGTCTGCTTAGAGAAAATGCTTTTTATTCACCTATGTGTCCTTCATAGTGCTTCAATATTCCTTAATAATGTTTAAAACAGAATTCTGCTCTTCAATAACCATTTGCTGAACAACTACTGTGAATGAAAAAATAAACTAGAAAGGTAACAAAGACATCATGCTATTAGATATCAGTATAAACTCTGTATTTAGTTTTACAATTATTTAGTATTTAATAGTTGGTAGTGAAGTTTTAAAAAAGATTTTACAACTTGAAGCATAGGGATCATAGACCATTACCACTTTCATATATTTCTGTCTCCCCCACCCCCACATAATCTCAGTGCAATCATTTACTTTGTAAAGGTTAAGATATACATTTAGTTGGAATGTAGGTTTGGCTGATGTTACAGAAATCTCAATAAGAATGCCTCAGTTAAGACAGAAGGATTTTCTATATCATGCAGCAGTGTGGACAGTCAAGGGCCAGCAGGGAGTCCCTCCTCCAAGAGGCCATCTAGGGGCCAGGCTCGGTCTGTTTTGTTGCACTGCCTGCTGCTCCAGTCCACATGATCTAAGGTGGCTTTTCCAACTTAGTCATGTTTCAAGTAGTGAAGGGCCACACTCTATCCCTTTAAGGACATCTCAAAGGTGCCCATATTGCTTTTCCTCATATATCATTGGCTAGTCCTAGTCAGGTGACACCTGACTGCAAAGGACGTGAAGAATGTAGTCTTTACTTTGGGCAGCCTTGTGAACTTCAAATTGGAAAATGCACTGGAGAAGGGAAAGCAGCACTCAGTGTTATGGAAGGTCACCAGAACACAGTGGTGCACAGACTGCAATGTGTAAAGCAAACATGATGTTTCTAAGAACACTGGTGACGTGTGAACAAGGAGAGTGCTATTCATCAAAGAATGTTCACCACGCTGCAGAGGTAATCAACTCTGTAAGGCATGTGAATAAAAGATGTTTTTAAGAATGACATTTGTGTATATGAATAAAGGGACTGTTATTTCAGTAAAGGAATGTGTTCACCACACTGGTGCATGGAATAAATATATCATGTATAAACACAGAAAAAAGATGTTTCTAAAATGAAAACGAGGTGACTGGAATTTCAACATGTCCATGATAGAATCATTCAACAGAGCCAATCAGGGAAATGTGTATCATTTATATGACAATTATAAAGTGCTAATCATTCCACCTTATCTTTAAAGAAGTATAAGAGAATATAACAAAGAAAACTAATAAATCTATCCATGGCATACAACAATAATTATCCTCCAAATGTATTCAAAAGGGAATTTCTGTGTTACCAATCAACTTCTTACTTAAGCTTGTGGGTACTTTCTGGAGAAAGTGTGTCACTGAGTGATTTAAACAACACAGGACAGCCATGCTGACCTGCAAATGGAATAGACTCTTCAAAATTCCAAGAAGTTGGTACTGACCCTGGGACACCCCATAACTTGGTAGCCCCTGGCTACAAGCCAAATTACTGTTTCCCTGCATTTGCGCTCAGTACTTTAGGGGGCACAGGGGAAGGCTCACGCTCCGCCCCCAACCCCGTCCTTCCCATTCATTCAGACACCATATGCTTTCACAGCGGGGATCACAAAATGGTGGCTCACAGGCCATCTAGCCTGTAGATGTCTTATGTTGGTCCTGCCAGATGTTATAAAAGCTATTGGTTGCCAATATTTAGAAACCCGATGACTTAATAGACATTTCTTAAATCTCTAACTTCCCTTCAGAAAAAAAAATTCAGGAATTCAGTCAGCAATGACTGTTTCTTCTACATCTTCTTCTTTCTTTTGAGCCTGTACTGGCGAGTGCTATTTATAAAACTCTGTGCTCATCTGATTCTGCTGCTCCTGCCCAGGGACTCCCTTCAGCCTTCCCTGCCTAGCAAACTGAAAGGACCCAACCACTTTTCCTGTACACTTGCTGACTAACTGCGTTTCAACCAGATTGGTATCTCAGCCCAGGAAATGCATTTTCCACTCTATCTCTGATAATGGAATGAAATTCATGCCCTGATTATACGGATCTCAGTTGTCAGCTAGCAGGTGAGAGAAACTGAGGATGAAGTAGAGAAACAGAGAGAAAACCATTCTTGAGATGATTTTGTGCTCTGCAGATGACAGGATTAAGGGAGCATGGGAATCAGAAAATCCTCACTCCACTGTGGAAGGAGAAGCAAGGGTTTCCCTCAGTGTGGTTATGGGAATGCTAGCTTGGAAACTGCTTGGGACACAGGATCTTTATCCTTGTGTCATGGTTTCTTCAGGGTCTGCTTGTATTGCTGTAAAATTATCTTCCTTCTCACCAACTTTTCTTCCTCTGGACAGAACAGGACACCTCTTGCTAACCTTGCCTGGTAGCTTACTATTGCAGATTTTAGATTAGTTTGCCTTACAGACCTTTTACTCTGTAATCTTTGTTAAAACTTGATAGCCTAGACCAGGGGTTGTCAGATATTGCTGTGTCTCTGTATCAAACCGAGACTACAAGCTATTTTTAGAGGCAAAGTTTTACTGGAATACAGGAGCACTAACTTGCTTAGGTACTGTTTATGGCTGCTTTACACCCTACAAGAGAATGGTGGGCAGTGTAAAAGAGACCATACAATGTGTAAAACCTAAAATATTTACTATCTGGCCCTGTGTAGACAAAGTTTGCTAATTCCTCAGCTAGACTTGAAGACATTAGTGTAGTTTGCATTGTGGATTTTTAAATTCTGTAATCTTTATTCAACCTACATACTAAACTTCCTATAAGACCTGATTTTTCTATCAGTGCAGTTTTACTCAAAGCTCACTTGAATGTGGTATGAGTTCTTACCTTTTTTCTTTTTTTTTTGAGTCAGGGTCTTACTATGTAGCCTCAAGCTAGCCTCGAATTTGGTACGTAGCCCAGACTAGCCTTGAACTCATGATCTCCTGCCTCAGCCTCTTGAATGCTGGGATTACAGATGTGAACCACCAGGCTCAGCTAATAAACTCCTACTCTTTAGCCAGCTATTTTGTGAGTCTCTGCCTGGGCAGAGTCAAAACTAGAGTCAAGAATGTTGACCCACTGAGGCAAACTGATAACTCTTTTCTGGCACCATTGTTACAAGGCCACATCATAGACTGGAGCCCCAACAATGTGGAGGAACCAAAAAACTGAGTGTGAAGGCGCTTAAAACAGTGTTTGATGTTTTAAAGACAGCAGCAAAGTAGTCATCATGAAAAAAATCAATACTTTGTAAGGATTCCTACAGCAACATCAACAGCCCAACTAGGTGCCCATCTATTTCATATTTAGGGTCACAAATAAAAGTTGGTAATGTGAATTATAATCCTGAATCTGACTTTCCTCTCTAAATGGAAATATGAATATGAGAGAAAGAAAGACCAGTTTTCTCATTCTTTCAATAAGTGTTGACTGAATGTCTGCTTTTAACACGTACTTATTGAATGTCTGATATTCTAGGCGCTACAGTTTAGCAGAGGGACCTGGAGAATAACAAATAAACAATATAGTGTTTAAATTTTTTCAAATAAAATAATAAATAGCTAAAAGAAAAGTGAAACTTTAGAAGGGAAAAATCCCTTGACTAAACATTTTGCAGTGGCATTAACTTTGCTGTCTAGAGACATAGCCACCAGGCCAGAGGACTCCACCATGTACCAGACTGACTTTGTGATTGAACACCAGTCATCATTATCTCTTCAAAACACAAAGTCTCTTGTACACAAAATATGATGCTTAATCCATTAAGTAGAAAGAGAACTTAAGATAGATGCCAATGTCTGTAAATAAAGACCAACTGTATGAATTTGGTCTAGAGCATACCATTTGTCAAGGATTAAGTCAGAACAGCTTGCTGTACATAAAATGATTCTGAATCCATTGATTAGACACTTAATTGGGAAAACTGTCACCTAACATGTAGAAAATAAAATTAAAGGCATGGATAAATTCTCCTCCCTCCCCCCCATCCCTTAAAACTTCTGAGTTCCCATGTTCCAATTCCTGGCAGAAGGGCCTGGGTAGATAGTAAACAGTAATCAGCCAGGCTGACAGTCCAAGTCCCCACAGAAAAGGCCTCTGGGTTAATGAGCACTCGCAGGATGCCTTGGCCATCTTCCAAGCATTCCTAATACTGGCCTAATTAACCTCCTGGGTCAGTAAGTCCACCATACGCAGTCACAGATGACTCCAGAGGCTGCCTGATTCACTCCTCGGAGTACTGCAGGAGGCAGGAAGGAATGACCACTTTAAATGCTTGTACCTCAAGTAAATTTGTCTTTACTGGTGATCCCCCACCCCCCAAATGCCCTTATTTTAGTTTATTTTAAAAAGTTTATTTAAAAAAATGTTCCTCTAAGTCTCATTTCTCCACTGTGAGCTCATTTATGCCAGCCAAATCAAGACCTGGGCTGCCTGTGGGTCTGTGCCTTCAGTGTACAGTGTGGTCAGTGGGAAAGGGGATGCTATGAGGTGACAATGCATGGGGATATCCTGGTAAGCCTCTTTGATGGGCTGAGCCCCTCCTACACTTAGCACTCCAAAGCTGGGGAAGTGGCAATGGTCATTAACAAATTTCAATTGTGCTGAATCGTGGATTTCTTTTTTTTCCTTCTAGAGTCTTCCTTTTCCTTCTTAACCCTTATTATCTATCAAAATTCATAAATGTTTTAGATATAAGATACCAACTTGAGGAAGGAGAGGCAGTTGAAACATACATCTCGGTTGGTTTCTAAGTTTACTCAGGTTAAGAGTTATGCCCTACAGAGTCTCCAATCTCTTCAGATTAGCACAGTGCCTGGCACATAGCTGGTTGACCTAACTGAGAGGTTACAATAGCATTTAGAACAGAATAGAGGTTGTGGTCAAGAAAGCCCCTTGAAAAGAATTTGAACAACCAATTCACCTTTGCTGAGCTACTTGATACAACTGCATTCATAAATGAATTCTTCTCATGTTACAGACTTAAGAATGCAATTAGTAATTATTATAACCACACTGCAAACCAATTGGGAAAACTAAGTCAGCTGTCTCACTACAGAAAAAAAAAAATAGGTAAATGTGCGTATGTAAACTTTGTCATCAGCGTACGAATGAAAAGATATCAGCCATTTTTCTTTTTCTTATAATTCTGTTCTATTGATTAATATTTCATAATCTCCTTCCCTCTATGATTGCAGAGCAATTTATGAGAGAGACAGAGAGAGAGAGAGAGAAAAGAAGAAGAAGGAGGAGGAAGAGGAGAGAACAAACAAGAGACAAGAAAAATGACTGTCAGGGAGACCTTAAATTTGTAGAATAACAAATTTATAGAGCCAGACTTTTAATGAGAAGTTGTCAGGTTAAATTTATTATGATATATAACTTCTGAAATAAGTTAACTCAGAGCTAAAGTATATACTAAGCTTCTTACTCAATAAAACTTCATTGCAACCCACACTACTTGTAGGTGTATTTTTTTTCCACCTGCATTTTAGCTGAAATATGAAGGATGGAAAATCCCAGAGCACAAATATTGTAGGGAGATTAAGATTAGGTACTATGTAAAATTTTATAACCTCCTTGCTAAGAAATTAAGAGGAGACTGAACCCCAGCTGTCAGAAAATGTGGATTGATGTAGTATATACCTCAAAAAGCCTTGTTAAACCTCACCTGGTTCTGTTTTAACGTGGACACTAGTTTCTGCAATGTGATGTTTTCTTCTTCCAGTTCAGTATAGTCCTGAAGGAGTCGGGCCTCCCGGAATTTATATTCTCGGATTTCATCCTTCATTCGTATTCTCTGTAGCTCCACCATCTCATTGTTCTGAAACCACAGAATAAATAGTCAGCACAAAACTTCCTTATTTTAGGTTTTATGAGGTGTAGAAAAGAGCTGGTAGTTAAATAAAATGATGGAAAACCTCCTGGGGTGTAAATCGAATGGCTATATAGTGATATCCATTGAAAACTTAAAAGCACTTAACACATGACCCACAATTCAACATCTAAAAATCATTCCTAAATATGTTTTCATAGAGATAAGTAAAAAGAAATAAATCCACATATACTTAGGTTAAAAATTGGGAATAGTCTATTTGCTATTTGGGGGAATAATGAAATAAATTATCATGAATATTCATTGAATGGAGCATTATAAAATTATTTAAAAGAATGAAAAGGAACTTTATTGTGCTAAAATGTAATTATAGCCACCACACTGTTAAATGTAAAAGCAAGGTATAGATTAGTATGTATAGCAGGATCCCATGTGAGTTAAAAAAAAGAGGGACCAAACACACCTATACCTCATGCACCTTCATATCATAAATATATTTGTAAAGTGCCCCCAAAACTGACAATAGTGGTTATTTATTAGACTGGGGTTGGATAAGGCAAGTCATAGGGATAAGCAGAGGAGTCTATTACTTTGATTTTATGTCCTTCTGAATCATATGAATTTTTTTTTACAACAAACATATATTACCAAATCTTATGTGCAGAAGTGCAGGATGTAAATAAAGAAATTTTAAGTAAAATACTTATTTTTTCCCTAAACATATATGCAAAAATAAGCTATGTTTTAGTACAAAATGATGACCTATAATAGATACCTATATTTACACATGCCATATATTCATAGTAACTAAAAGAAGGGATATAAACTTTTTCTTTTCATTCAGGATTCATGAGATTAGTTTCCTATTCAAACAAAGAGAAATATTTTTAAAGTAATGAACAGAAACCAAAGACTACATTTTCTTTTGCAACACTTGGGTATTCATTAGTGAAAAATGAATCATGACCACACTGATCTTCTGGCCATAATTTACCACCTGTGATACATTAGACAGAATTGGTAGTGAATAAAGTGCTGCTATTGCAACAAGTGTAAGACTCACTTGGAATAAGTCATGTGCAAAAGACAACAGACTACACGATTTTGTGGATATGAAGTTCAAAAACATGCTATGTGGGTTATATTGTCTCCCCCCCAAAAAAAGATGTTAAAGACCTAACTCCTAGAGTCTTTACAAAGGTGATATGCAGCTGACACACAGGAATTTTCGGGTGTTGGGGTTCTTGTTCCACTCTGAGTTTGAAAGCAGAGGTGGACTCCAGCAGCAGAGGTCAGAAAGATTTTATTTTAGAGAAGAGAAGAGAGGCTGCATGGGGGCAAACAGGGGGACCCAGAAACCTGAAACTGGTTGTCTCATGAGTCAGGCTGGAAATAGGGTTTTTATAGCCTTTGTTTTCGTTGCCCAAGGGCAGAAAAGTCTCTGGTGCAAACAGAAGTTTCCTGGGAAGGAGAAGTGTTTCCCTGGCTAATTGTCACCTTTTGGGACCTCCTGCAGTCTGCCCTTCATGTCCCCCCTCTCAATGATCGCCCTAACTGCTGTTAGGAAAAGGGATGAAGAAGTCTATTCAGTGACTGCTTCCTGATGTCAGGGGGTGATGAAGGGGCCTGCAGCATCAGGGCTGACCACAAGGGAGGTTATTGAGGGGTTTCTGGGACAATTAAAAAGGAGTGACAGTGACAGAAGTGGAAATCTCCCCAGGAGCAGGCTAGAGGCTGAGTGAAATAATATTCTAGAGGCTGGCCTGATATATGCCCCAAACAGTAATTTTCTTGGAGGACCTGGGTCTGAAAGAGAAAGGAATAGCTGAAATGCTGGCTCCAGCATCAATAAGGAAGCTGACCTTGTGTTTTTCAATGCTAATTGTCACCTTTTGGGACCTCCTGCAGTCCGTCCTTCAAAGACAAAGGTTACAATGAGGTCACTAGGGTTGGCTCCAGTCCTTGTGACTAATGTCATAAAAAAGGGAAATTTGGTCACAGAAAGGTAGACACACAGAGGGAAGACTAATGTGAAGACCCAGAAAAATGATGGCCAAGAGTGGAATGAGGCCTGTACAAGCTAAGAAAGATCAAGGATCATCAGCAAAAACCAGAAGCTAGGAAGAGGAAAGGAAAGATACCCAGAGAGCCGGAAGGAACACATCCTAGCTGACACCATGGTCTCAGACTTCCATCCAGCCTCCATAACTATGAGACAAGGACCTTCAGCTGTTTTAAGCTGCCTAGTTTGTGGTACTTTGTCATAGCAACATTAAAAAACCACAAGCAAAAGGAAATGGTGACATAAGCCAACACAATACCACCTATGCATGAAGGGGAGTGACCTCTGCAAGCACTGGAAAAATTTATAATTCTCAGTTTTAACAGAAGGCTGTCCCTGACAGAACACCTGATTTTCTCACATATGCTTCCAAATGTCCCTTGTCCCTTTACTTTCTACATAACTTGACTCCAGTTTTTACAGTCACTTCTGTCTGAACATGGAGATTTTTTTTCCTGCTGACATGAACACTAAGTACAGCTATCCCTGGTTCTGCTTCTGCTTATGTGAAAACAGCAAATTATAAACGTAAAATCTTTCACATACAAATGGAAAACTCAGCTCCAAAATCATTTAGTTCTGGCTAATGAAAAAATCATTCTCAGGCAGATGCTGCATTCCCTAAACACAGGTCGTTAGCACACAGTCCTGGGAGAGTAAGTGGCTGTGACTCTGGTGAGAAGACAGATAACAAAGAAAAATGATTCTGACACGTGTTGAAACAGTAAGGAAGATGGTATTCGAGGCCATGACAATTAGAAGGGAGAGAGATTGAGCTCAACTCTGAATACAGCAGGGGCAAATAGGGATTTACAGCCAACAAGCACGGTGAGGGGGCCAAAAATTAGAAAAAGGAGAAATCTGGGGTGGGGTGGGTAGGAGGAGTCTTAGTAAACAGAAGTAACAGACCCTTGCTAAAGGCAATTCAGAGACTTGGACATCCAAAAGGCAGGGGATGAAGCGCTTGATCAAATATGAAGGATAATCAGAAATCATAGGTCAAGGAATAATTTAGCAGGATTTATGTTTAAAAAAGATGAGGCTGGGCAGGCCAAAGATAACAGAAGGGGTCAGGGTCAAGGTCTAGTGGAGCTTAACTAAAGTTTGGTGGAGGAAAGTCTGTCACAGACAATCATGAGTTGCAGTCTGAAAAGGATGAAGGCTAAGAGAGTTTGCAAGGCATTTTGCTTGGTGACAATGTGAATACAAATCCTAACTCAGGTGGGTCCAAGGCCATTTTGGCCTCACTTTTATCTGTTTTGTATCATGCCATCATAAAAGCCCACTGGCTAGACTGTAAGGCATCCCCAGAGAGGTGCAGACTGCATCAATTACTGTAATCTCTTGTGGAATGTAATAACCAGTCCTGAGGCTACCCAAACTATTAGGTTATCTTGAAAACCTACACTCTACCTACTATGTGTCACATTATTCACACATAAGCAGTTTGAGTGCCTTGTTAGTCAGAAGGCTTCAGATGTCTGGGTTTTTTCTCTTTATGGTAAACTGACAGTCATTTCTTCAACAACTTCATAGCTCACTTATGCCTGCTCTATTAACTGACATTTTCTGAATCCCTCCTTTTCAGCTATCCTCTGTTTATAACAACGTTGACTTCTTGAAAAAATTCTGTCACAAGTTACAACACAGAGTGTTTTGAAAGTAGAGTTTACCAACTTAAAAATCCGAACAATGGCTTCCATGAATTTCCTAAAATCTAAAACTAAGAAGCTTCTGTTTCTTATCTTGCTAACCGAGACTGTCTCAAGCAGTGGGGGCTAGGTTCATGGAATAGTTAACTGTTGCCATATAACTGTCAGAGTGTTTTTCCCAGCTCTGGAAAGCTACTGCCCATGCATCCTTCACCAGCAAGTCTCTGACATCTCAAGGAATATGGAAAAGCAGAAAGAGTTCCTTAATTCAGTCAAGATGACCCAAAAGCTAATTAATGACAAAAAAAAAAAAAAAGCATTGACAGGAAAAGGCTATAAAACATAATTTACATACAAAGCTTGCTTTTCATACTCTGTGCATATTTCAAAATCCTCCAAATAAGTCATATGACCTGGGCCTGCCACTCTCTAAACTGCCCCTTGGGTGCTCTGTTCTGGTCCTGATACCTTTCCTTCTGCTCTCCCACCCCACTGGGCATGCAAGCTTGGTTCTGCTATCAGCCTCCTTCACTCTTCTTTCTGGAACATTCTGCTTTCAGATCAGGGGCTCTCAACTTTATTTGGCACATGGTCTTCCTCCGTGACAATGTGGTGAAGCCTATGAGCCACTTCTCAGAATAAGAAAGGGGGACATGGAAGTCAGGATTTGAAAAACACTGGTTATGTTGGTCATAACAACTTTGTTGTAGTAATTGTACAAATACTGTATTTGTAATAACTATTACAAAATAACTTTTACAGTTATGATGTGGTGGTTAGGTGGAGTGGTATAACAGTGATTACACTTTCCTGTACTCACCACTTGGGTAGTCTCCTCTCAAACTGACTCTGAAAGTGACCTTCTGACTTGCTGTGACCCACAGAACACTAGAAGTGATGTGGGACTTCTGGGCCAAGGTCTCAAGGGACCTTGCTCTAGTTGGACACTGCCACCAAAGAAGATGCCCAGGCTGCCAGGCAGAGCCACGAGGTCCAGCTGCTGTCAGCACAGCTGCAGGCCTGCATGGGAAGCCATTTTAGACTGTGTGGCCTGGCTGAGCTGCCACGTGACAGCAGCCACACAAGTGACCCCAGCCAAGCACACCTGAACTGCTGACCACAGAATTAGGGGTGTCTCAAGCTCCTGAATTTTGGGGTTACATGTGTAGTAATATATGCTACACAAGCTTCTGTATTAACACAATGTACAACCAGATCTTGTGGTCAATCTAAGAAATGCCATAATTCCAAAGCAATGATGACATTGCAAGATA